AGCTTGTGGAAAGAGTTTTTCTTTATTACAACATCAATTTTATATCAGTCTGGACTCAGAGACACCGATTTTACAACAGAAAGTTTGTCTTACTTACTAGTAGAAATGAGTGTTTGCCAGTCTGAGAGAGCCTAACTAAAGATGCTACTGAAATGCATTATGGGAAGTGTAAAATCCAGTGTTTTTGGAGCTTGATCCATGTGAGGGATTAAAGGTCAGGACATCTGAACCTCTGCTGCTTCAAGTATGACAGTTCTGTCATTAATCTGTCACTTGCAAGTCTCCTGCCTTTATGATGAATCAGTAGTAAATCACTGGAGTAACTTTAACGATAAAAAGAGTATTTCTGTCTGTCAGCAGGTCATTACGATTGATTTCTGGAGGTTATTGAGGATAACTTTGAGAATTAAAACATGGTAACATCTACAACAATTCACTGCTCTTGGGAATTCATTTGTAAAATAAAAACTTATAGAATAAATAATAAGCAATATTTTGTCTATGTAACCCACCCAGCACTGTGCATTGCAAAGGAAGCACCACCAATACTTGTGCACTAACTCAAGTTACTGACACCCACTCTAAGCATTAAATTCTACTGTACATAACTCTAAATATAGGTCTGAGAGAACTGGATATCTGTTTACATTAACTGAAGACAGGGGCCAGTGCAGTCTCAGCTGATTGCACTGACACCCATAGACACAGAGGTATGTTCACTATGACTAGATGCAGAGCTATTTTTGTCCCACTGCCTTCATGCCTAACTGGCCTCTACTCCTTCCACTGCCACATCAAGAATACTCCTCTAATTGGGTTGGCTCCCAGTCACATGAACTCTGATCCCATTGGACCCCTCCCTGCTTGTCCCTGTCTCTGCCACCAGGACAGCGCAGCAAGGAATGCCAGTCCACACTCTGTTCTTACACCCAACTGACTGAGATAAATGACAACAGAGAACCGAGGTTGCCATGAGTCCCGGTGTCCTTCTCCTCTTCTTCCCCCTCTTTCTGGCAGCAGCACACTATGAGTTTGTTTATGCACCATGCTGATATAGAAAGCTATGACTGATAGACTGATAGCAACAACTGCACTGTTTATGGATGACTGAGTTTTATTTTGGGGGACTATTGAATTTATGCATTCAGCCTTGCTAAAATCAGAAATATCTGTGGCAGCTCTAGACCTGCCTTGTGTGAACTCTGTCAGCTGTGACTGTGAAACACTGCAGTGCCTGAGCCAGTTTACTGTTGTGATTGTAGGTAGTTTTAGATTATGAAAACCACCTGGTGATCAGATTAGAATCATAAGTCATAAATACTTTCTCCCTGTCATTTCTGTTGTGCCATTTAATTCACAAACCAACTGCATCCCAGCTACAGCCAAAGTGTTTGTGCTTACTGCCTCACTCTGTGGTGGAAGTTCGTGCCACTATGCAAACCGTACCCAGTTAGCCCCACAACTCTATGTGAAATGTGACACAACTCCAGGTTCATCTTTCAGTCGTGCCTTTTCTGTCTGTGTGCATTACATTATATGCATGTGTGTGTACACTTTCTTTGCGTGTGTGTGTGTTTGTGTATGTGCAGGGTGGGGGTCAGGCCTCCATTTTTACCAGGGCGTCTGCAGCAGCTGTCCACTGGCATGTCAGTGGGAGCGTCACAGTCGTGCTTCAGGGGTTCAGAAGTGAAGTGAAGCGGCTGCGTGCAGTTGGATTCAGCAAGGTTTAGCTTGACTGTCTCTGGCCCATCCAGGACCCGTAGTCCTACCATGGCGGATCAGTATCAGTACAATACCAACGAGGAGAAGATTGTGAAGGACAGCCACACCAAGGAGATCGATCTAATTAACAGAGACCCCAAGCAGATCAATGAGGACGTGGTGAAGGTTTGTGTAGCATGGACAACACCCTATCACAAAAAGCATTAAGAGAGTAACCTCTGTCTTGGCAAGTGTGGAAGCTGGATAAAATTCATAAAGTGGTGGTGGCTATAGCTTAGGAACAAAGACAACAGAACGGGTTTATTACACTGTCTGGAAACTCCCTAAATAGATCCAGAGCTATTGCTGTTGCCTGTCCAGAACATGAAGTTTATTTTTGGAATGAAAAGGAAGAGTGGAAACTGTGCCACCGTACAGAGCCGAACATACATTTACATTACAGTAGATTAAATTTGGTTTGAGTGTGTGTGTGTGTGTAAACACTGAGGATATACTGTATGTTTTGTGCTCAGTTTGAAATGACTTCCAGACCTTCTCATGTCTGTTTTAATACAATTTTTAAGAAGCTGAAAAAGATGAATGATTATGGATTCTTAAACTGTAAGATTTGTTCAGCTTTTCCCCTAACAGTCTGGTCCAGGGATAACAGCACACAAAGTAATAGATTACAGTTTTAATCCATGCATTATTTTTTTGGTAACAGTTTCTTTTTTCTTTGCCTTAACCTCAAATTAAAGTGGATCAGTAATACCTACTGACAGACCATCCATGAATAGTCAGGGAATTTTATCTTTGACCAGCTTTGGCCCACATGCATTTCCACATCCACATTTCTCTTTATAATGTCGAAATAACACTGTTCTTTTTGCAGAATCTGATTGTAGCAATCCTCCAAAAGGCCAGATCTTGCAGACAAAACTGAAAACAGCAGTACATGTCCACTCATTCATTCAGAGGATGATTTCAGGCTGATGTCTCTATGAGAAATGAGCAGCATGTTGTTACTTCCCACACTGATCTTATCCAACAGTCTGGAAGAAAAGCTAAGGTTTTAGATGTGGGGTGTGTCTGCCTGCCGTGATCACCGACTGGTTGATTAACATTTTGTAGCCGAGTCTCAGCTGAGAATGCAACATTTTCCTGGAAGACAAAGTGGCAGAAAGTGGAGTGAAAACAAATTGGCCCATTGCACAGCTGCTGTCATGCATTTTACATTAGGTGAAGTTAAATGTGTAGGAATAAAGCTCTTAAACTTATTTGGACCCCGCATTAAAAGCCACTCCATAACTTTGCCTGTGTGCTACTGCATTATTTTGTTTTTATGAAGTGCAACGGATAACTGGGCTCTCTGCAAAAATTTGACCCTACACTCAGGATCTTTCACAAGCATAATCTATACACTTAACATCGGCATAATACTAGACAGAGGTCTAGTGGAGGGGGATGGATAAAAGTGGTCTAACCTCAGGGATTAATGAACACTTCATCTTGAATTTCTCATTAGGTGGAGTTTGAGGATGTCATTGCAGAGCCTGATGGTACACACAGTCTGGATGGGGTGTGGAAGCTCAGCTATACTACCTTCACTGTGTCCAAGTACTGGTGCTACCGCATTCTGTCTGCTATCTTCGGTATCCCTGTCGCTCTGCTCTGGGGCTTCCTGTTTGCTTGCATCTCCTTCTGCCACATCTGGGCTGTGGTTCCCTGCATCAAGAGCTGTCTGATTGAATCGCAGTGCGTCAGTCGCATCTACTCTCTCTGCATCCAGACCTTCTGTGATCCCTTCTTTGAAGCCCTGGGCAAAATTTTCAGCAGCGTGCGAGTGGCACTGCGCAAGGAAGTCTAAGAACTCAGACAGCATTGTTTATAGTATGATCAGATGAAGTGTGGTATCTTTTTATACATGAGACGCTCAATCCCAGCATCTCGCTCACCCCCATATTTTGCTCCTCCTCCCTTTTCATGACATGCTGCTCCCCACCCTCAGCTCTGAGTCCTGATATGACCGGTGGTGCCTTTTGCTACCAGAAGCTTTGTGACAGCTGCAGCAGGCAGCATGGTTCTGTAATAGCTCTAGTGCTCCTGGAGGGCTCAGTGCCCCTCGCTGAGGGAACAGAGGGCAGCTTGTCATGAGGAGGATCTGTCTGGTCTCATTTACTGTATTTGTATTTTGTATGCCTACTTGTTCATAGCAAATGCATTGAACCCCCCACCTTTTGACAATGCTACCCGCATGCATTACATTTGCCTATTCTTAAAAATAATATTGACGCTGAAAGTTGCTGTTACTGTTGTTTAACTTTATTTTGATCGAATTGAACTTGACACATATATACAGAACTGTATTTAACCTTATTAGAAAAACCATAATTACTCTGTCCAGCACTGCCCAATTTATTTACATAATAAAAATATATTCTGATATATTTCTCTCTTAATTTGTGATGATTCCACTTTTTGGTGTCTTGCAGATATAAGAATTCTGTCTGGAAGCATGATTAGTAGAATACAGTATTAAAAACTGTTTGCATATATGACTTAAGTATGTATAAACAAGTATGGACCTAACTATTGAATGAGTAAATTGAAAACCTCTCTGAGAACCATTTAAATGTTCCATAGTCTTATTTTGATTTGATAGAAAACACTTTGGTAGCTGTACCTCCAGTGTAGAAAATGGGCTATAACTAAATTAAAGACACTTTACAAATGATGAAACTGTCCTTATAATAACTTTATATCACACCCTTGTGTCGGTGACTGATGTAAAATATATTCTGTGTGTTATTTTAAATAATTCTGAGAGGCCTAAGGATTCAGAAGCAGTGACCTGAGAAGTGAACCCACTAGAGGTTGCTGCTGTGTATCTGTCAGCCGCCTCTCTTTGTGTC